TTTTTTTTGAGACAGAGTCTCACTCTTTTGCCCAGGCTAGAGTGAGTGCCATGGCGTCAGCCTAGCTCACGGCAACCTCAAACTCCTGGGCTCAAGCAATCCTCCTGCCTCAGCCTCCCGAGTAGCTGGGACTACAGGCATGCGCCGCCATGCCCGGCTAATTTTTTCTGTATATTTTTAGCTGTCTGATTAATTTCTTTCTATTTTTAGTAGAGACGGGGTCTCGCTCTTGCTCAGGCTGGTCTTGAACTCCTGAGCTCAAACAATCCGCCCGCCTCGGCCTCCCAGAGAGCTAGGATCACAGGCGTGAGCCACCACGCCCGGCCCAATTATGGCCTTTCTTTAGGTGTCTGGAGACGAATAGGTTTTGCTTTCTTTTTTTCTGCTCCCTCTCTTTTCGAATTGGGTTGAAATGGTTGCTGTGTCATCTGGGCCTTGCATGTATGGGATTTCGGTTCTGGGACAGTGGTTCAGTCTGATTTAAAAGGGGCAGCAGTATCTGCCTTGACTATCTCTAGTGCCTGTCCTAAGGATAGGAAGGGGAGGGAGAGGATATGTCAGTGTTGTGGAGAAAGATGCTCCTTCCCCCTCTTACCAGGCCTAAAATGAGGCTTTTGTAAGAAGGTGCCAAACTCTGTCACTTCATTAGGATTCCAGGCTGTTTCTCAGAGAGACTGTCACTGCGAGACAGCCACAGTTTAGCATACTTCTTAAAAGATCCTAGAAAGGTAATTGATACTTTTAAAAAATGTATTAAGGTCTAATTTACATACCTTTTTTTTTTTGATTACTTGAAAATATATGTCATGTGAGAGGTTGTTTGACTTTAATACTCTGGCCTGTTCTTTTTTACCAGGTTAATTTCCACAGGAAAGTTTAGCCTGGTAATGGGATAAAAAAGCCAAGGCAATGAAGTTGGTCATACAAGGCCTAGTAAGTGAATATCAAACTCCTTAGCTCAACAGTCCAGTCCTTTGCTTACACTGTTCCCTGGGGCTGGAAGGACCTCTCCCCATCTCCACCTTTTGAAATCCTGAACCTTAATTGAGGCCCAATTCAAAAAGCAGTGCCTCCTCATAGCTTCCCCAAACTCGATGTGATCTATACTCCCTGTAAATGCTTTTAGGCCTTGGTTTGTCCTCCTTCAGGGCCTCTCGCTATAACATACTCAACATACTCTGTCAGACAGCAAGCTTCACAGGGCCAGGAACTTACTTTGCTTTTGCATCTAACACAGTGCCCCACATAAAGAAGACTCAATAAGTATTTAAATAGTGGAAGAATAGTACTTTCTAGATGTAGACAAATGGAGAATTAGCTTTTTTTTTTTTTTGTAATATACACATGACTATGACTTTGACCTCGTGAAATTTTCTGAGATTTAAGAGTCCTGATCTGGGAGTTACCCACCACCGGCTCCCCCAACCCTGTGAAACTCTAGATAAGGCCCTGTGCATATCTGGGTCTTGCTATCATCATCTGTGAGGAAGTTTTCCAGCTCTTAGTCAAACAAAATTTCAGCAGGAAAAAGAGACAAAGTGGATTTGGAGAAAATCCACATCATGGGTTTGGAAAACAAATCAAAATCATGACAAAGGAAAGGATTGTTGAAGGAATTGGGAATGTGTAGCCTAGTAGAGAAGACTTAGGAAAGACCGAGAGTTATTAAATGCTAGAGCTGGAACGAAACTTAGAGAATATCTAAGGAATTTCCTTCATTAGATAGGAAGTTGGACAAAATGAACTCTAAGGCTCCAATGTTTTGCAAAGTTCTTTTCCTATTTGCAGTTCTGATTGACAGAAAAGGAAATTCTTGTTAATTCATCTTTTACATTCCCAACTGAGAATAATATTCTAGTTCAGAATTTAAAATTCAGATACTATTTTTCTATGTCTTTAATAAAATCATAGCTTAAAAAAGCATTGTCCATCCTCTTGTTCAATATTCCTCATTCATTCATCATTCATAAAGTCATCAACAAAATCCATATAGACTTGGGTACTGCTTTTTGTTGGGAAATTGGAGTTAATACAACTTCCTTTTTTTTGCCTTACTTGCCAGGGAACTTAGAGCCAAACGTGTTTCTCATGTGAAGTAAATGACTCAAGCTAGTGCTTGGTATATTTGTTTCCCCACTTTCATATTAATTGACTTACATTTTTTGAAAATTGTAAAAGGAGCACATGCTGTAGTTAAAAAAACAAACCAAACAGTACAATTCTCAATGTGCAGAGGTAACTACTGGCAAAGTCTTGTTAACTTTGATCTGTGTTTATTTTGCTTTTACTTCGCTTGTGCTCTATGTGTTTTAATAATGTAAGGTACTTAAAATTCATCTTGGAAATAAACTGTTATATTAATTTTAGTTGAATCTCAGATGTTTACAAAATTACAAATAATTGGATTCCTGGCATCCAGAAAACATGTTTACATCAACTTTACCATACGTACTCCAGCTTGTTACTGCTGTTGCCAAAGGTCAAGTATGGTTCTGTGAGGCGCTAAAGTGTATATTGTGTTTTAAACTTGTAACCAGTAAACTCTGCCTTCTAATCTTCTACAAATTCATCCTAATCTCTCCTAATTCATTTTAGCATCTCCCTCCCTCCCTTTCTTCCTTCCTTCCTTCCTTCAACTAATTTGTGTTTAACCCAAGTTCTGCTCTTCTCCTTGCTGTATTTGTTCTAATCTTTGAGGCCCGTACTGACATTTTGTGTTTCTCGTTGCTGAGAATAAGGCCGCTTCATGGTGCTTGTCTAAGTAAGTAGGAGTGGCTGACAGAATGCCTTCCTTGCTTTAGGAAACGCGGGACTCAGGCAGTGTGAATGCATTCAGATTTGCTTCTGTCACGTGGAGCCGGGAAAGCACCTCACGACTATCACCTCCTTATCTGCTGGACTGTTGCTCTCCTTACTGCCTTGAATGTGTAAATTGAGAGAAAAAAATGGCTTTTTGTTAGAGTATTTTCATTTTCAAATCCTCTGGCATTGATTTTTAAGGACTCAGTTGTAAGAACTTTAAACAGTAGATGAGTATTTTATTGTCTGCATGGTTTTCCTACGTTCTGTCTTTCATTTGGGCTTACACGTGGGGAAATAGTGTGTTTTACTTGCAGCTTCCAGCTGAGCTACAGGCCACCATGTTGCAGGTGAAGTCTTGTAGAAGCTGAAGTCTTGGAACTGGGTTCTGAGCAATCCACTGGGCTGTGTGTGCAAAGACCTCTGTTAACCGAAAATACAAAGAAGACAGAGCCTAGATTGCAGGTAGAAAAATACAAACTTCTCACTGAAATCACCCATTTGTGGTGACTGGATATGAGGAGAGGATCCACTGGATGAGAAAAGTAGAAACTTTTATCCAGGTGAGTTTGTTCTATGAGCAGGAAGCTCTGGTGTGAAGTACTCCAGCCTCACCAGAGCTAGAGTCAGCAGCAGGCCCGGAAGGATTCAGCTTTGGTTTAAATTTGCCACACACACCCCCACACACACCCAGCCACTTATCCCATCACATATGAGGTTGGGTTAATGTTTCTAAGACACTTTTGATGTGTCACTCTCAAATTTTCAGGGGCCACTGGATCAGGTTTATTCAAGGCTTCCCAAAATTTGCCCCAGAGCTTTATTTCCAACATCATTTCCTAAGACTTCCAGCTGCAGCCAAGCTGGTCTCCTTTTCCACAAGCCTGGGTGGTATAGCTGTCCCCCGATCTTCTCCCACCTTCGCTTTTATCTCTTTTCTGTTAGGGTGGAAGTTAGTGCACACAGGTTTTGAGAAAGATTTCTCCAGGAAAAGTTTAGGATAGAGAGAAGAAATTTATTTTACTTTTCCAGATGGAAAAGGGCCAACACGAGGGGAAGAGGAAGAGTGTGTTGGCAGAGAGAACTAGGTATTCAGGGCTTTTATTTAGGAATTGTAAAGGGGGTGAAGATGATTTATGGTTGTAGCCGAATTAATTGGGCACTGGTGAATTGTCGTATCCACTCCTTTCTTTCCCTTCATTTACTCTGCTTTGTTTATATCGTGTCACGACAGCATGTCGTCTTGTCACAGGACATGGGTTCTGTCCCAGGTTAGTTAGGTGTGTAACCTAGGTCAAACTAGTCTTCCTCTCTAAGCTTCTGCTTCCCCATATATAAGAGAAAGACACTGAACTGGAAGACTTCGAGGGTCCCTTTCCACCTTATCATTGTGTGGGTCAGTGGCAGCCTTAGATTTTTCCTTGGCTGCCTCAGGACACAGGGCCCTTTCTTTCTTTTGTGTTTCTGCAGCATTTAACATTCATTGTTTGGGATTGTAGTTAACATTTTTTTTGTTCTCTCTTCAACTACTTTTGCCTTTGAGACAGAGTCTTACTCTGACACCCAGGCTGGAGTGCAGTGGTGTCATCATAGCTCACTGTAACCTCGAGCTCCTGGGCTCAAGCGACCCTCCTGCCTCAACCTCCCCAGTAGTTGGGACTGTAGGTACACACCACCATGCCTAGCTAATTTTTCTTACTTTTTGTCTCAGTATGTTACCCAGGCTGGTCTCAAATGCCTGGGCTCAAATGATCCACCCCCCTTGGCCTCCCAAAGTCCTGTGATTATAGGCGTGAGACACTGAGCCCAGCCTCTTCAACTACTTATTGAGGATATGTTTGTAAACCGAGAAAGCCCCTTGGTGGAGCTAGTTTCCTAGAATGTGGGTGAGGGAGAGGGCTATTGAGTTCTACTTTGGACTTCCACCTCGAGTCCAGAAGCCAGGAGGAGATGGGATTTGTAGAAGATTTTCCCTTATGTCCCTTGTTGGGAGAATGGGATGTTCCTTTGAAAAGGGGATGCATATTTGCCATTTTGGGACTGAAAGAAGGATGCAATTTCCTGGAGAATTCCTTCTGGTCTGCTGTGAAGCTGCTGTATCTGTGCTTTTTAGGTTTGCCTTCCTCTGCCATCCTTTCAGGGTGCCAGTCTCCTGGCATTTAGGGTTGGATGATCACTTTATCTTTCACTGTGCCTTTTAGGGCCCTGTTTGATTATGATCGGACTCGGGACAGCTGCCTGCCAAGCCAGGGGCTCAGCTTCTCTTATGGTGATATTCTGCATGTCATTAATGCCTCCGATGATGAGTGGTGGCAGGCAAGGCTGGTGACCCCACATGGAGAAAGTGAGCAGATCGGTGTGATCCCCAGTAAGAAGAGGTGAGTTGTCACGATCACGAGCAAGGCCTTTCCTGCCCTCTTGCTGGTATTTCTTTCTTGTTTTCCTATTATTCTACAAGTTGCTTGAGGGCAACATGTGTGTTGGTAGAGAAGTGGTGCTTGACATGGTTTTCACTCAATGAGCCAAAAAGTGGCTGCTGTTCCTGTTGCAACCCACTGCTGAGACCACATTCTGGCAGTAACAAAGCTTCTTTCTGACTCCAAAACAGGGTGGAAAAGAAAGAAAGAGCTCGATTGAAAACTGTGAAGTTCCATGCCAGGACAGGGATGATTGAGTCTAACAGGGTAAGTGGGAACCCCCAAGGAAGTCAGCCTATATGTGAAGAGAGGCGAGAGGCCTGGAGTTTGGTCTGATGTGTAAGAGAAGTGGGGAGCACAAAAGAAATCTCTTTTTCAGGAGTCTGGCTCTGCCCTATCAGAACATTGACTGCTTTTCAGAAAGCAGTGAGGGAGCACTTAGAAAGTCTATGGCTAGTCTGTGCTCCTTCCCCCTGGGTACTGGCTCTTGAAGATGTGTTGGAGTTGGACTGTCTGGAAGGCTGACTTGCTCGGGGAATATCAAGCCACTCATGGGTGTCTCCCTGGCTACAGACCTTGTCGGAGTTGTGGGGACCCTGAACAGAATCTGTCCCCATCATGCAGCCAAGAAGGCCAGCCCCAGAGCTCCTACCTCCCTTCAGACAACCTGAGGCAGGAGAGCTCTCCATTCACCCCTTTTCTTCTATGAGCTTCACAGGCCAAAGAACTTCCGGAGCAGTAGAGGGAAGAGAGACATGGAATAGATGACTCTGTATGTCAATGGCACCTTAGGGCATGTGTCCACGAGGCTACAGTGACCTTTGTTCTTTAGGAAGTGCCAGTGAGTGTTATGATTCTGGATTAGGTAGAAACCTCTAACATCCCTACAACATTTTCCTGTAAACATAATTTTCCTCTTACATCAACTTTCATTTAATCTCTTAGACTCCATTTGTGAGAGATGGTCTTTTATTTAGCTCACCATTGTCTCCATTTTAGTTTTCTTGCATGCTTTAAAATCCATTGTTCTGTTTTTTTTTTCTTCTGTCCTTCCCCTCCATCTTCACGTTCTTTCACAGTCGGTCAAAACGAAACGTAAAAAGAGTTTCCGCCTCTCTCGAAAGTTTCCATTTTACAAGAGCAAAGAAAACATGGCCCAGGAGAGCAGCATACAGGAACGTAAGTAGCAGCAGAGTCCAGAGAGCAGACCGTCCACAGCCCTGTCCTCTCGTCCTCAGTCGCACCTTCCCTTAGGAGCAGTGTGGGCAAGGGCGCGTGTGGCCCTGTGCATGCCTGTGTGCACGTGCACCTGCCTATTCGCAGAGTCAAGGCAGAAACTGGTTTGCACGGGGAGATACTGCGTCTTAATTCGTCCAGCTCCTCACTTGGAATGAATGTTGGAGGTGCTGAGGTGGGACTGGTCCCAGGGCCAGCCTCCAGGAAGTGTGTGGCACTGGCATCAGAAGTGCCCAACGGAGCTCTGCTGTGGTGGTAAAAAGCAGTTTTCAGCCAGTGCCAGAGTTAGAAAAATGGTTTTTCAAGAAAACAAGGTCTAGGGACTCAGTGTTGCTCTCCTGGCTCCTTCTTCTTGTGTTTTCTTTCCCTTAACTTCACTCATCTATGTCAAGAGAAGAGCCTTTCCTTCCCTTCCCAGGATCCCTGGAATCGGGGCTACTTCCGAAATGCCACACACATACATAAGCACATAGGATATCCATATGACTCTCAGCAGATTCACTGTCATTGTAGAGTGCCTACAGAGCCAGTTCTCACAAGAAAATCTTTCCTGCTTAAATGAGTTGACATGGAAGGGGTGTTGCTCAACATTGTCCAAATAAAGATTTATGGAGAAATGCAAAGCTGGTTTGGCAGAAAAGGTTATAATGCTGAACTCAATTAACTTTAAAATCTAATTTAGTCCTGATGAATATTCTTGCTCTACCGTATGCCTCAGAAATAAATTGCTCTAACCCTAACCTTAAACACTAGGTCTGGCTTGAAAAATATTTTCCCATTGTCTCATCATGAATTGTAAACATCTGTCATTTACCAGTGACTCCTCTGTCTTACATGGAGGGATCTTGGGGTCCTGGGCTGTTGGGACTGGCAAGAGACTGACTAGTTCCAATAGGAAATGTCCTTTTTTAAGGCCAGCCTGATTCACGGTCATGGTATGTGCAGGTCATTGCCATCTGGGATGGAACATGGTAGATAGAAGGGTGTCCTCATCCAGATGGAGGCCATGGCTCTTCATCCTGGGGTAGCTCAAGAAGAAGCAATAGATGAAGTTCGTTCTGGCGTCACTGCAGTTCACCAGATGAGTCCTAGTACCTCCATGCTGAGCCCAGCCTGGGGAGGTATCCAGTGCTCAGTGGCCCAGCCTGGGAGAGGAGTACCCATTGAATGACAGAGTTGAAAGTACCCTAGTGCTTATTCTCCAGAAGCTGAGCTCACCCCCCACCGTGGTCTGCACAATTCAGGGCAAGCTTTGGAGGCCACACCCCAGACTGCATGAAGCTTTCCCTGAAGCATTCGGACAGAGTGAGTCAGTATTGGGTGAAAGTTCCTTGGGGGATGGTAATTCTGTCTGCCAATCTGGCACACATGGATGGATATTTGCTCTTTCAGGCACCTACCGAGGGAAATGGTGATTTCAGGGGCAAAGCAGAGACCCGGGCTCTACAACTACAAATTTAGTCAAAGCAGGTGCTCTAAACCTTGGAGTGTCACCTGTCTTATCCTGTGGGCCTACAGCTGTAGACTACCTCAGAAAGCTAGTTCACGCCCAGGTCCTCTGGCAACAAATTTGGGCAGCATGAAGTCTAGATATCTTATCTGACCTAGGATGTTCTTTCCGTAGCAAAGTTCTTGACCTCACTGAAGTTATAGGTCTTCATAGTGTTTCACACTCTGTCACTAGTGCTCACCTGCCTCTGTATTCTTCCTTCCCCTTGTCTTTTTTATGTATTTTTTCTCTTCTCCCCAATTCTCTCCCTCCCCCTTCCCTTCCTCTCCCCCTCCCTCCCCTCCCTCCCCTTCCCTCCCTCCCTTTCTCTCTGTCCTTGCTGTCTGTGAAATCAGGACTTCCCAGGGTTAAGTGACGATTATTATGGAGCAAAGAACCTGAGTAAGTCAAACTTACACACCATTAACTGTATTTGTGGCATGAGTGGAGGTAGCGGGGGTGGGGGTTTAGGGGACATGGGTGAGGGTAAAGGGGGAGGGGAGGGCAGTGTTTGTGAGAACTCTTGATACCACAGCAGGAGGAAGTGCATGTGGTTCTAAATGTCACACATTTACTCTGGATCCCTGGTACCCTAATAAATCCCTATCATTCATATCTGTGTTTTCCTTTTGCCCCTTGAAGTAGGAGGGCATGAGCTTGGTATCCCACCTAAGAAGTGAGGTGGGCCTGAAATGCTTCTCCAGGGTAACTACTCAGCTAATCTCTAGCCTGTTGTCAAGGGGGGGTGCCTGCTAGTTGGATTCTTCTCCCAGGGACACATTAAAGAATTCGGTATAGGGATTGCAGCTCTTGTAGTCCCTCTAACTAGGGGCAAGGGTACTGCGAACCCTTTCACCCGCCCTGCATCTAAGTGTCCCAGTAGATCCAGGGCCTCAGCCAATAGCTTTCCACAGAGTGTCTCTGAGGGGCTGAGCTGGTCTGGTGGGGGTCTCAGTAACATTTACAGGCCATATATAGCTAGTGCTTTATCTTAGGAAAACTCTGACCTAATTTTCCATTCTGGAAAATAATCCTAGAGAGGAAAATGATAAGGGCCTAGATGATGGGGCCTTAGCGGCCTCCCTGCCATGTGCAAAGGTGCATGGACACGTGCCATGCCTGGTGGGTTCTGTCAGCATATACTCTCCTTCAATAAATCATAAAGGCTGAAGGCAAAGGAGCTGCCATCAGGGATTGTTCAGGAACTAGTCACACGTGGCAATTCATCCAGTCCTTCCTGAGGGGGCCACAGCATATCATGGTCTGGAACAGTGTGGTCTTGGCTGAAACGAGCAGTGTCTCTCTCCATAGTTTGGTGTGTCCATGTCTCATCTTCATTCGCCTGTTGTGCTGGGAGGGGTAGACTTTGTTTGTGCCTCCTGTGAATGCTGCTTCTCCGTTTGAGCTTTCTCCACCCACACTCAGAGATGGGCAGGTCCCAACTGTCTGAGACAGGAGAGCTGTCTTGTCCTCAAGGTGTTCTTGTTGATTTTGTTGTCTCTGTGTTTTAACATACATGTCTGTCTTGTGGATGGAAGCGCGTTCCCCCTCACTGCTGAAGCCAAGCCCTCCTTCTCTGGAGCGGTGACAAGGGCTGGGGGTCCCACCGAATGGTCAGAGCAGCGCTCCCTGGTGCCTGCTCAACCCATCCAGTGCTTAGCTTCCTACTTCTGCAGCACCACACGATTCCGTACTTTGGGGGCTCTGTCTGGGAAGGAAATTCATGAGCAGCCTGCTCTGTGGACTTCTCTTTGCTCCTGTCACTGCCTTTTCTTTCCTGTCATTAGCCTTGGGAGATGCATTTTGAGATAGGATTGGGAAACCATCCAAGTCAATTCGTTTGATTCAGATGAAGAAGATGCTGCTGAAGGAAGCATGGCTTATAGTGTGTAGGGAGGAACTTGGCAGACCAAGCGGGCTCTGGGGACAAGTATGAGATGGCCGGGGGCTCAGAATTGGAGCTGTGCCTCCCAGTTGGTGGCTTGGATGTGGCAGGCCTCATGTGGCCTGACTTGGTTGGCAGCTCAGTGTCTTGCTCCTGGAGCATTTGAGTTTTGTGTTTTTCGTGACCTCTCAGTGGTGTGTTCTGAATTGGAGTCTCTTTCTTGTTGGCTTGCAGAGGGAGTGACATCCAACACCAGTGACAGCGAAAGCAGTTCCAGTAAGTGTGTGTCATCCCCCCATGTTGTGCAGCTCTACCATGTGTCCCAGTCATCCTCATTCCAGTGTTGCACGGCTGCCATTTCTGCTCAGAGGCTGGTGCTTCTTTTAGCCATGTACACTTTGAGATCCTGGAAATGCTGTGGCCAGTTCATTCTCCTTATGGGATGGGGTTTGCCCCATGGATTAAAGGAGAGTATAAGCCCTGTAGTTCTGGCCAGGGCCTGACTTAAAAGCATCCCTGGGACCTGGGAAGGGTGAACTACCAGAGAGTAAATCCCTGCCATGGGCACTGGGCTATAGGTGCTTGCAGGTTTACAGATTTGCTTAGAGACCAAAAGAAAAATGTCTCCTATGGGATATTGTTCCGAATCTGTCTTTCCAAGTCACTAGGACCTCCTTATCTTTTGGGCTGGTTAAATGATCAGGTAATTGCCCAGTTTTCCTTGGGAGATCCTGTGACCAGACCAGAGGAACCACAGTTCAAACCTCATGAGCTGTGGTGGCTAGAGGCCTTACAAATCTGCCCAGAAGTCGTAGGCTCAGAAGAAGCCTTTTAGCAAGAATCCTGTGGCTTGATGCAAATATCACTGCCTTCCCCAGGGCTGTTGTCAGCCACTTTTGGACCTCCAAGCATCCAGCACCAAGTGGCTTGGTGACTGTTTTAGGAAAGCCTCATCATTACTGGGCTATGTGGAGCTCTACCATGAGGAGAGAGCAGGCTCAGCATTGCTCTTAAAGGGCACTGGGGCCCTTAGCCCAGCCATGCACCACCTTTTTGGATGCTTCTTCCAACGGAGGTGGGGATAAGTAAACCCTTAAAACGGCAAAGGTAGGCTACAGCTTCGGAGACCCACGTGAGTGCCCTGACTCCTCTGCCTGAAGGTGAGAGGACTCTGGCAAGTGTGTCTCAACCAGTTGAAGCCTCCCTGTCATTTTACCAGAGCAAGGGGCTGTTCAACATAGCCGACTGTTACCTACAAGAACAATTCCTCAGAAATTGGGGTGGTTTTTGGTGGAGGCTTCATGGCTTATGGGACTTGGCCCTTTGCTCACTGATAGAAATTTCACTGAACAAGAGAACTGCTGACTCCTGCCCCAGGGCCAGTGAAGGGCTTCCTGTGCTTTCTTGCCAACAGAAAGCAAAATGGATGACAGCGCAGGTGGTAGCAAGTGCCACTTGATAAGGCTGCTTTCCATCAGGGGTGGGAGTGTGGTGAATGTTGTATGTAGGGAAGCAGATCATACAGTGCTAACCTATCCCTTTTTGTTGCAGAAGGACAAGAGGATGCTATCTTGTCATATGAGCCAGTGACACGACAAGAAAGTAAGCCCCCTTCTGACTGTCTTGCCTTCATGCTAGCCTCACGGTCACGGGGCTCAATGCAGTGGGCGGCTATGGCAACAGAGGAAGGGACCTGGGGGAGGAGGAAGGCCCCACTCATGATACATCCAGCCCCTGGGTTCTTCCTCCTCCTCTTTACTCCTTCGTAGTGTCATAGGGAAGGGGGAGGCCATCCAGTGTGTACCTCTCTCAGTGCCTTTGCCTGCTACCAGGATGTCTTCCAAAGGAGGTATAGCCACTGCTGAAAGAGAGGTCCCAGTCCCTCCCTTCAGTGGCTGCTTTGCAGAAACCTTTCTCAGCTACTGGTGTCAGTGCAGAGATTTCTCTTGAATCTGTTGAGAGATGCTTCTGGTTTCAGACTTGCCTTGGACTTAGGTATTCTCAAATTAAAGGCTCTTTGATGTCTTTGTAGTTAAAAGCCAGACAGTGGCCTCGGATGCTTCACCCCGTCTGAGTCTCGGCTCCAGAGCCTCTGTGTTCTAGCCAGACTCGCAGATAGGGGCCTCTGTTCACTGTCTTGATGCTCTCCCTCTCTAGTTCATTATGCAAGGCCTGTGATCATCCTGGGCCCAATGAAGGACCGAGTCAACGATGACCTGATCTCTGAGTTCCCGCATAAATTTGGATCCTGTGTGCCACGTAAGAGCCTAGGAAGACCCAAGAGAGTAAAGCTTGGTACCCTGGGAATTGTTGCTCTGATGTTCTATGGAAAAGGCCTGGAATCACATGCCAGGGCTGTTTGGGGACAGGGTATTTCTGACACCCTGGAAGAAAATAGGTGGCAGTAAATTCCCCAAAAGCTGATGGGATTGAGAGGACTAAGACATCAGACTTGGCTGCTTACTCCCTTAGGGGGAAGTTTGGCAACTGTTAGGAGCGATTGGACAAACAGAAAGGCCCAGCCAAAGTGGTGTCGATATGACTCGAGGTTCACTGACTCCTGTACCAAGTTTGGCACCCTCTGCCAGGCCTTGGCTCAGGAAACCCCACCTTTCTGGTCCAGTTTAAGCTAAAGCAAAATAGCCTTCTGTGTCTCCTGTGTGTGAGACCTGGAGATTGGAAGAAAAGTAGACAAGACAAACTCCTTCCCAGCTGCTTTTTTGCCCCCACTCATCTGAAAAAACTTAGATTACCCTGTGACCCACCCAGGTGAGAGAGGACCAAATCATCTTTTTTGGGCTCAGGGCAGGTCATTGCCCTTTGGCCACAAAGTGTTTCCTTTTCTTCTTTCAGATACTACCCGGCCTCGGCGCGATAATGAGGTAGATGGGCAAGACTACCACTTTGTGGTGTCCCGAGAACAAATGGAGAAGGATATTCAGGACAACAAGTTCATTGAGGCAGGCCAATTCAATGATAATCTCTATGGGACCAGCATCCAGTCAGTGCGGGCAGTTGCAGAGAGGGTAAGCATAGAGGAGAGGACCTTAAAGGGAAGACAGGTGTTCCACTTGGATCCTCATCCTTCCAACACAGGGGCTACCAAGTGGTGCTGCTGACCAAAGCCATGGCAGCTCTGCATATTCTTAGCCTCTTGATAAAGCTGTGTATCTCCATGCAACTTACCCCTGAGCTTCAACCACCAGGGAATGGGGACCCCTGGGCAGATGCGGCCTTTTCTGGGTAGTAGGAGCAAAAAATGGGGCCTGGCTCTAGGCCATTCTGGGTAGCCCTGGGTTTCCCCCAGGTGGATGTTTGAAATGCCACTGAATTTCTGCTTGGGGTTAGGTAGACAGGGAGTGGCTGGACTGATACAATTCTGCTTTTTCAGGGCAAGCACTGCATCTTAGATGTTTCCGGCAATGCTATCAAGAGACTGCAGCAAGCACAACTTTACCCTATTGCCATTTTCATCAAGCCCAAGTCCATTGAAGCCCTTATGTAAGTGTTTGCTGAGACTCAGACACATCCAGCCAGGATGGGGCCCTGGAAAGGAAATGGAGAATAAAGTGATTTGTTGGGCAGGGGTAGAACCCAATGGAAGCTCGAAGGAAACTGTGCGCCAGCTGGTCACTGGGTGCCTTTTTTTTTTTTTTTTCCAGACAGAGTCTCACTGTGTTGCCCTGGCTAGAGTGCAGTGAGTGGCATCATCATAGCTCACAGCAACCTCAAACTCTTGGGCTCAGGCAATCCTTCTGCCTCAGCCGCCCGAGTAGCTGGGACTACAGGCATGTGCCACCATGCCCAGTTAATTTTTCTATTTTTAGTAGAGACGGAGTCTCACTCTTGCTCAGGCCGGTCTCGAAATCCTGAGCTCAAGTGATCCTCCCGCCTTGGCCTCCCAGAGTGCTAGGATTATAGGCATGAGCCACCTCTCTGGCTGCTCCTTCTGTTTTGAGTGCCTATGCATGTATCGCATGTATTCCCAGTTGGGCTTTTGAACCTGGAAGATTTGAGGAAGGAGTTAGCCATGGGCTAACTCTGAGGGCAGCTTAGCACATTTTTAGGGATCCTGGAATAATCCTTTATGTTCATCAAAGCATAGGATCTAGTTTGGAACTATTTTTCTTCTGTGTTTTTGGCAGGGAAATGAACCGACGACAGACATACGAACAGGCGAATAAGCTCTATGACAAAGCCATGAAACTGGAACAGGAGTTTGGAGAATACTTTACAGGTAAGAATCTCTGCTGCCTAGCCGAGGGTGCCGTGGGACCAGCCAGATACCTGTTTCAATAAGTGTCTCAAAGAGGTTTAGACAGGATTTAGAAACCTTGCACAGTTTCTGCTTGCATCTGAGCACAAACTTTTCCAAAGCACTCAAGTTCCCTCTGTCTAGTCACAGCAGTTTAGCCAGTTTATAGTATAAACCACTCACCAAAGGCTGCATTGGATTGTTGGTTCGATCATTTTGTCTTCTTGTCACTACTAGATTGCAGGCTCTCTATATTACTTTGTTTCCCTCCCTCCCAGATCCACCCCCGTACTTTGCTTCGCATGTTTTAGGTACTGAATAAACATTTGTTGATGATGATGATTCCTTGGTGTGGTGTTCAAGTTGTCTGCCAGGGTGTGTATTTGTGTGTGTGTGTGTGTGTGTGTGTGTGTGTGTGTGTGTGTGTGTTTATATGGTCACCTACTTTAGAAAGTCCATTCCTAAAAGGTTGGGAAGGTTTCTACGTAATAAGTTCCTCACCTTTTAAAGTACAGTGACATATATGTATGCACAGGGCAGTGCTGAGTCGGTTCTAGCTGGTGGTGCTACTAGGTTAACTGCGTAAAGAATTCATAAATGTATTTGCACACCTTGGGTCTTTGGAGCTCCCTTTACTGTCAGCATCCATGTCCTTGTTTGCTGGACTGACCTCTGACATACAGCAGATGTGATGGCCCCAGGAGCACTGCCTCTTGCCAGAAATTGTGACTTTCAGTTCTTTCTGTGGATAACCAGGATTTTCCAAATCTTTTAGTAAGGCTGCTTTAGAATTACAGGCTGCCAGCCTTATGGCGCCCAAGAGTAACATGAGCTGCAAGGTCTGGCATATAATGGGTGCTCAATAAACATCTTTTGAATAAACACATTTTTCCAGTCATTGCTACTTAGTCTCACTGTCTCAGCGAGTTGACTTCAAGCCCTGGGCTTGGGGCACCCAGCCAGTTCTCCTCACTGCCCTGACAACACAGACAGCCGGCCAGCAAAGCCAAGCCCAAAGCTGCACCCCCGTGAGCGTGTCCTTCGTGCTGGGTGGAGGGGAGGCATTGTAGGATTGTTGGGAGAGGCAGGATTGCCGGGTTTTGGGGGTATGCTGTGGACCACAGTAATAATTTTGTTTTCCTCTTCACTTTAGCCATTGTACAGGGTGACTCACTGGAAGAGATTTATAACAAAATCAAACAAATCATTGAGGACCAGTCTGGGCACTACATTTGGGTCCCATCCCCTGAAAAACTCTGAAGAATCCCCTCCAACCATTCTCTTGTGAACAGAAGAAATCAAGTCCCTCTTCCCTCCTCCCTCTTCATTCCTGTCCCCATGGGGAGAACAAATGCTACTGTTCTTGTCCCCTTTTTTAGATATGTCAAAAAAAGTTGAGTTTTCTAGTCCTGTTCTTTTTTTTTTTAATTTTTGTTTTGTTTTAGTTTATTTTTGGGATGATGCCATCTCACTCATCATGTGACTGTGCCCATTCCTGCATGGACCTTTCCCAAGCACTAGCACAGGTGCAAATCCATCAGAGCCATTGTTTTCATAAAACCAAGCAGAAGCGAAGAGAAGAGAGGAGGACTGATGGAAAGACAGACTCTGGACAGCTGCACAGCTTGTGAAGTGAGCTAAATGCACCACATGATGAGATGCTCCTGGGCATTTCTACCTATCTGTACTGCTGTCTTGCAGCTCTCAGCGGTGCAACGTAATGGCAACAGAAAGTATCTTATTTATATATAGATATATATATGTAATTTATATAAAATATATAGAAATTATTATATATATATATTATACACTCTCATATAATATATATATATTCACACACATTTGGACTTAGAAAATCTATGGAGACTTCATCAATGGTACTATGTTATTAGAGAAATGCTTTAATTTTCATATTCCAATCAGATGGCATCTTCTATCCCAGCTGGTTGGGAAGGGATTGAAAATGGTAGTAAGTGCTGCACTAAGGGCACTCGTATTCGGTCATTCTCTTGAGAGCTAAGGTTTTCTCTAGGAGGGGTCAGCCTGAGGCCTGAGAGAAAGGGCTTTTGCCTGGGGCGAGAGGGTTGGAGGCTACCTGAAAGCACCTGCTGCCCTGAGGTGCAGTCAGTCCTGTGTGCAGAAAGAGAAAGAATGGCTAATGATGCTCCACGTGAAATCGCCTATTGTTTTATGCCACCTGATGTGTCTGCATGAGAGGTTTCCTTTTTGTTCATTTTTAAGCTGCTGTTAAACCAAAACCATGTTGTGCTACTGTGTCAGCCTTTTCATTATTGCAAATTTTACTTTTACTATTTAAGTGAATGCGTAGAATCCAATTTGCCAATGTTCTAAAGGCTTCTGTGGCCCTGAAAGAGCCAGGCCTTATGACATAGTAGGTGATCCAGGCCTGGCCATCCCATCAGCAGAAGGGAGAGCAGGGGCTGGTGAGGGCTGAAAGGAGGAGCCGGGGCTCTGCGCTGCCACGCTGTCCCTTCACTCACCTGCCAAGGACATGTTGGGCTCTGCTGAGGTTCCTTCCCAGGGCCCACCAACAGGGACAGGGAGTCACTCGCCTTCCTGTTCTGTGCTGGGACAGCAGAACAGCACTTGGCTTGGCCAGCCACGTCATGAGTTTGATTTGGGTTTTTTTTTGCAGCTGCTTCATATGCCCTGCCCCAGCTCCCTCCCCAACAGCTGGTAGCTTACTGTTTCTTCAAGAAGAAAGTAGACTTTAATGCTGTACATTTGACCTGTAGAGCTGAGATTCACTTACTGGTGAGCTGTGAAACTTTGTTGCTTTTTCCCGGAGTCTGATGGCAGTGATTGTGGTCAAGGGAGTTTTTTGCCCGCCACAAGTGCAGGCAGCAGGTGTGGTTCAGGCCCTCTCCCATCCCACTGTGCTCCTTTGAAGCCAATGTGCCTCCCTCACCTCCATGCTGGAGGGATGACGCAGGGGAGAACATCGAAACGCTTGACCCTAGGGTTGAGGCACTTGTTTCCTAGCCCACTGGGTTAGGGCCAGTGCAAACGATGCAATGTTGAAGATGCTTTAAGCACTACCAGCTAAATTCGGGAAATCTCTTAACAGTTATCCTACCAGCATAATGAGGCTAACTGTAAAATCTGGGGCCCAGAATGATGATAAAGAAAGGGCGGCAGCTTTCCCTGGGCAGTACACTGGGTTGAAGGCAAAGAGGGATCAAGTGATGGCCAATTGTGACTCTGGTGAGGAGGGGGTGAGCAGGGAGTATTGATTCTCTGATGTTAACTAAGTGGTGATGTCTGAACCATGCTCAACCCTCTCCCCCTCCCAGAGAAGAAAAGCAAAGATTCAAAGTAAGCATGGCACTCGTTGGTTTACCAGTGTTCCTTCCAAGGAGACATATATTTTTTAATAAACGATAGTTGCAATGAACTGTGTGGCTCAGAGACCTTCTTGAAGTAGTTGAGACCATGGAGGGTGGGGGCCTAGCAGTGGGAAGAATGTCTCAAACCTTTGTTTGGGGGCCGAGATGCTCTCCCCTGAGTGATGATCAGCTGACTGAACTGGTTGGTCCTCAAGATGGAAACCGCCCCCTGGAGTGGTGACAGGTCCTTTGTGAAAACTCCATGCTGGGTCTTCTACGCCAGCCCCAGATGCTGCCTCAAATAGCACCAACCAGATGGGGGTTCATATCCTAGGCGGCAAAATGCTGACATTTTCTCAAAAGGCACACAAGGTGGGAGATGCCTACTGCAACAAAGATTTTTGTTAGAGAAAGCAGGGGCCAACTTAGCAGCAGAGAACTGGGTGAGAAAAATGGTAAGAGAAAGTGGTCTGCTAGCTACCCGGGTTTCCAAAAATGAGAGTGGGATGGGCCCAGTTTGCAGAGCAGGGCAGCAGTGATCCCTGAAGCCCTCTGAGGAGAGAGGAGTGCTTAGAGCAGGTATTCCTCACATAGCCATTGTCTCTGCAACTTGGGTGGAAAAGCCTGAAGCCATAGTTCATGAGATCAAGAGCAACATCTGGATCAATGCGCCACCCTAAATGTGGTGCTTTACGGTATGCAGGCTGCTTTCTTTCCCATGTTTGCCCATTTGCTAGAAGGCAACCCAACAAAAGGGAGTCCCCACAGAGTTCCATGGGTGTTTAAGGAAATCCACCTCCTGAGAGCAAAGGGAACGAAGACTTGGCCTGTAGTCACACTGTGTTGAGACTCTGTCTTCATGGCTGATGTCCCTCCTAAAGGAGGTGCAGCTGAAGAAAATTAAGCCCCAGCACAAGAAGATACTGAGCAACTTGGAAACACCAAAGGGAGACACACCCTTAATGCTGCGCTATGCTGTGACCTGGAGAGAGCCCTGTCTGAACAAGGAGCAGACTTGGGCTCTCGTTCCAGTTTTGCTGCTGACGCTGCAGCTGGTTATGTCTCAATTTCTTCATTTCTAACAGAGGAAGAACTGTATTATCAGGCCTTAAAATATTCATAAGTCACTACCCATGAGTAAATAAAATATTTCTTCAAGCGCAAGTGACTAAATTTATCTTAAGTTGAAAGTGCTTCTAGAAATTAGGTAATGAAAGCAAAATCCTCACCCGAAGCAAGTGTGGAAGTTGAAGGGCTCAAGGATGAAACTAATACAGTTGCAGAAGAAAGCGGGAGTTGGACTGCAAGCCTGGGAAGGGCATAGAGGGAAAGTATCCCGACCAGGCCAAGAAAAAGAGGATGGGACCGAGAAGGGGCACTGGCTCGAGCAGGAAGGTCAGTAGTAAAGGCCAACGGAGCCCCTTCCACAGGGACAGCCCCTGCTTGGTGCCAGCCACCGGAAGCCCAAGGCATCAGAAAACCTGGTAGCAATGAGATGAGACGGTTTTCAGAGAGCTGTTAGCTTTCTCAAGGAAAGCCAGCAAGTTACTGTGGGAGTCAAAAGCCAGCCTAGATGCCTGACAACCTCAACTTGAGCCTTGGCAGTGTGCATTCAGTCTCGGTATTCCCCAAAATCTTCTCCTCCATCCCTGTTCCCATCTAGGATTTCATGGCCTTGATTCCACTAATCCTTTCATCCATCCAGTCATTTCTTTGGCACCTCTAGGATGTTTTATTATCATTACAAATAACTTTGTGAAGCACAAGTTCTAATTTGCTCAACAGCCTCTTTCTTCTCCCATCACTTCCAAGAAATAGAACTGGCTCCTGCACATCTTGGTTCCTCCCCAATGAACAGGGTATTGACACCTTGTGATTTGCCAGAAACCAGAAGAGCTTCTTCAACAATGAAGCCCAAACTAGATTTTATCTGCAGAGCTGTTCCCGTTGTGCACACTTTGATACCCACTGGTGGCTTTTTCCACATTAGACTGGATGAACTACCTGCATGGCCATCCCTCCCCTGCCACTGGCAGTCTAACCACAAGTATCTAACACTTGGAGGAACCGGAAAGCAGGGTGATTTGAGAGTGGGCTTCGGACCTGCATTCCCTCAGTGAGGAACGTGTGAGAGTCCGGCCTTCCCGCCCACCCCCGGGCTCACAGAATCAGCTGTCCCACATGTATCGCGCATCCCACGGGGCCCTACCACCCACAGGGAGAAGTCACACCTCCTCAGCACGGCCCTTCATGTCAGGCCCAGGCCTTTCTCTCCTGCCGCTTCTTCTGCTGTGTCCCCTCTGCTCCTGGCGTTTGAGTTCCCTGAACGCACCCAGTCCTGGCTCTTGGCTCATGCTTCTTTTTGTGCCCATAAATGCCCTCACTGCGGCCCCATGTTGCTTACCTAGAAGACTTCTCTTAGTATTTCAAGATTCAATTCGAATTCCCTTTTCTCTGTGCAGCCTTTCCTGAACCACCACCACTCCTTCCCTCCCACCCTGTAGGTAGAATTGACCATTCCTCCCTTTGTGCTCTGTTAATGTCTGTAAGGACCTCTGTCATCACTGTAGCAGCTCACATTTATTTCCTGTCTACCATGTGCCTGGCATTGTACTAAGTGCCGTATGCATACTAATTCCATCTGTTGCGAAAAACAGCCCTGGAAGGTAGGTGCTAGTATTATCCCTGTTTCCCAGATGAGGAAACTGAGGCACAAAGCAATCACATGGCCAATAAATGGCAGAGCTCTGAGGCAAATAGGCTGTCTGGCTGCAGCTGCTGTGTCCTTAAGCACACTGAGCTGCCTGTCCCTTTGCTCTGCTTGGAACATCTTCTTGCCCTATCTCTTTGCGTCTGTCTTCCTTGCCTAGCCTCCTCTTTGAGAGCAGAGACTGTGCTGTTCAGCTTCATGTCCCCAGCAGTTAGTGCAGGACCTGGTACATAGTAGGTACTTGGTGAATAGAAGAGCTGCACTAGTCTGCGGCTCAACCTTGGAGGGAAGTGATTTGACTGGGTCCAAACCTGTGGTGAATGTGAAGCCTTTTGGTTTGTTTTATGGA